TACTTAACACAAGGAAGCTATTCTTTCAAGTACAATCTTAGACATCTTTAACAGACATTTATCGTTAGTGAGGTGGTTAAGTGGGTAAAGGTACCTGCGCGATGCCCGCCCCAGGATGCAAGTGCCAAAAGAAGAGTACCAACTCCCCCAAATCACCCTAGACCTCCACAAGGCACACAGACGGACAGACAGACACACACACACACACAGACACACACACACACACACATACACAGACACACACACAATCACAAACACACACAAACACACACAATCACAAACACACACAGACACACACACAGACAGACACACACACATACACAGACACACACACAATCACAAACACACACAGACACAGACACACACACAGACACACACAATCACACACACACACACACACACACAGAGTAAATAAATATGAAGGCCCTGATCTACACCAGTTACAGGGTACAAAATTAAAATTTAATTCTGAAGTGGCACGTCAAATTAGGCAGAATGTACTTTACCTTTTGTTTCCTGAGGGGTAGCCACTAATGTCTGTTTGCTGGTTATCTTCTGTATATGTTTTTATGCATTCATATGAATCACCTATTTTGGAAGTTCGGATAAAGGTTCAGGGTATACTTGACCTTCTGTAAAAGTCCTACTGCACCAGGGTTTCTAGACAGAAGCCAGGGCTCTGGCAGCCCCGACTGACTAGGCATGACCAGCTCCTGAATAAACGTATTAAAGGGACCAGTGATGGAGAAAAGCAGAGAACACAGATTAATTCAAATGGCCACATCAGGAAGAGGATGGGGTTCAGTGACCAGGGCTGGAGAGACGGTTCAGTGGTTAAGAGCACTGGCTGCTCTTGCAGAGTACCTGGCTTGATTCCCAGCACCCCCATAGTGGTTCACAACTGTTTGTAACTCTAGTCTCAGGGCACTAAAGACATCGGTGAGAGCCCTGGACCTTGGACCCCAGACAGAAGTTGAGAAAATAATAAGCAAAATGGATGAAGGACGGGAAAAGTGACTAATAGTGACTTTTCGACACAGATGACTCAGAAAATGTCTGAGGGAGACAGAAACCCTGAAAGTTTCCCCCACTTCGGTGATGTTGACACCAGGAAGACGCCATTTATAAACCTAAAGTGCGTGCTGAGTTCAGCAAGAATGTGATCAATGAGGAGCTACAGCACGCGATGCAGGAGGCTGACGGAGATGGAGAGGTGAGGAAGCGAGAGTTCCTAGGCAATCATGAGTAAAACCAGCCTTGATCCCTGTTTCCCTAGGACCACAAGTGTCTGTGAAACCTGGCTGCTGAGGATACAAATCCACTCTTTGGAAGTTTTCCTTGATATTACCATTCTTTGTAAAAATCACCTGCTAATTACTTTAATTCTAGAAAGCTGAGCAAGAGTGCATTAGAATGGACAGAAGAGGTTTTTTTTTTTTTTTTTTTCTTTTAAAGACAGAGCTTCTCTGTGTAACAGCCCTGGCTGTCCTGGAACTCACTCTGTAGACCAGGCTGGCCTCGAACTCAGAGATCCACCTACCTCTGCCTCCTGAGTACTGGGATTAAAGGTGTGGGCTGCCACCACCCAGCCAGAAGAGGTCTTCAAGTCTACCTGTCTTATATCGCCTTATTTTTTGTCATGCATTTCCACTTGAGTGCAGACACAAAATAATTTGTTTATTTGTGTTGCGGAGGAGAGAAGAGAGATGCATGTGTGCAGGTCATGTATGTGGAGGTCAAAAAACAACTTGGAAGACTTGGTTCTCTCTTTCCACCATGTTGGACCCAGAAATCGAACTCAGGTGGCAAGTGCCTTCACCTGCTGAGCTGTTTTAGCTGTTCCTCAATAGTTCTAGCTTTGAGCTGATATCTGAGCAGTTTTTTAAATTGTCACTATAGTTATTATTTGGGTATGTGTTATATGTGTTTATATCCATGCAGAGGTCAGAGGTCAATCCTGGGTATTGTTCTTTTTGGAGACAGGATCTCTGTCTTGCCAATTAGGCTAGGCTGGCTGGTTAGTGAGCCCCAGGGACCCACCTGTCTTGATCTTCCAAGCACTAGGACTACAAGCGTGAGCCACCATGCTCAGTGTTTAACATGGTTTCTGGAGTTCGAACTCAGATCCACACGCTTGCAGAAAGAGTACTCTACCAGCTGCGCCATCTCCCTAGCTCAATATTTCTCTTATAAAACCCACTGAGGGGCAAGGGAAAGGGCCCAGTAGGTAAACCACTTGCTTGCTATGTACCCATGAGAACCTGAGCCTGGATCCCCAGTACCCATGTGAAAAGCTGGGTGTGGCAGCCCGCATCTGTAACTCCAGAGGTGGTGGAGCCAGGGGAAGAGACAGATGGGTCTCTGAAGCTCATTGGCTGATTAGTCTAGCTAAATGAGCTCTAGGGTGAGAGACCTTGTCTTCAAACCTAATGAAGGGGAAATCGACTGAGAAAGACAGTCAACATTGATCTCTGCTGTCCACAGTCAGGCACACATATGTGCATATGTCCTCATACATACACACCGGTAAGACACGTACTTATACCATTCAAAGATGTTTTTTAAATGAACACACACTATGAAATCTGGCTATATAGCAATGCTAACTGTTTTGTCTTAGAATAAAGCCTTTCTTAGTTATTAAAAAAAAGTGTGTGTGTGGGGGGGGGGCAAGGAAAATTGAAGTCCAGATTCACTTATAAACAGTGCCAAAACCTAACAAAACATTGCCAGACAAAATTCAACTGTGCTTTGGATAGCCAACTTAGGTTTGTTCCAGGAATGTAAGAGTGATTTCTTAAAAATAGGGCTGGGAATGTAGCCCAGGGGTAGAGCACTTGCCTCATGTGTGGGAAGTCCTGGGTTTAATCCCGAGCATCACAAACACACAGTTACCCCCTAACTAATGTAATTCACAACATTAATTAAAGGGAAAAAGAAAATCATACAATCATCTCAAAACAGAAAAATCTGACACAATTTGGCATCTGTTCATCACCAAAACGAAGCACTCTCTGGAAACAGAGATTAAAAAAGGAAGCTGATTAACCTGATTAAATCTGTAAAACCTACATCATCTCTACTATGTGACAGCCACAAGCATTCTCTTTGAGATTACTATAACATAAGAAGGCCTATTGTGCCTGGCGGTGGTGGCACACGCCTTTGATCCCAGCACTCAGGAGGCAGAGGCAGGCGGATCTCTGTGAGTTCGAGGCCAGCCTGGGCTACAGAGTGAGTTCCAGGACAGTAAGGGCTATACAGAAAATAAATGAATGAATGAATGAATGAATGAATGAGTGCATGCATGCCTATTACACCCTTTCTATTCAGTATTGCATGGAGGTTTCTAGTCATCACAGTAAAACCTTTTGCCCCCAAAAAGACATGATTAATTTCTGAAAGTCTAAAAGTAGAAAAAAACAAAGCCATCACTATTTGTAGATGATAAAATTATTTACAGAAAATTCTAAAGAGAAATTTCAATACAAATTATTAGAAGCAATGAACAAGTTAAGAAAGCTAAGTACACAGTATACTAAAATACAAAAGTCATCAATATTTCCACATACTGCAAGCAACTGCTTACAAACATAATTCAAAAAGAGCCCACTGGCATGATAAGACATTTCCCAAATTCACAGAAATTATATACTTAAGGTTTTTTACGAAATACTAAATATATTTTGAGAATTTTTGCAGGAAAAAAAACTATTAGTAACTGCAACAAAATATGTAGAGTTCTCAGGAATCAATCTGGTCAAGTGAGACACTCCAACCCCACACTCAGAAGACTAAGGGTAGCCTAGGCTAGAAGAGGGCTGAAGGTCAGGTTGGACTATATAACAAGATGCTCCCCCCCCCCCCCCCCCCCCCCCCGCTCAAAAAAAATGAACCACTCCAAAATCTCAATAAAGAAACTAATCTAACATATATAACACCTTTTCTAGGTCAAAACCATAAAACTTTACTTAAAGGCACAAAAAAGGCATTTAAGTGAATGTCAAAGAGACCATGTTTGCAGAATAGAACATTTAGTATTATAAAAATGTCAGTTCTCTTCAATTTGATCTTTGGGTTCAAAAAAAATCAGTAAAAACCTGAACAAAATTCCTAGAAGAATCCAATAAGCTGATCCCAAAATTTGTAGGAAACAAGAGAGGACAAGAATAGAGAGGAGAGTCCTAAGACACATTACTGTCTCTATGGTAACTGAGATAGGGTGATTTCTGGCAAAGAGATGATAGCCAATGTGGCCAAAGAACAGAATAAAGATCAGTCTGTGTACGTTTGGAAATAACTTTTTTCTTATTTATGCAGTATCAGAGGCCTAACCCAGAGCCTGCACATGCTATGTGAACACTCAACTACATCTCCTCAGCTCTGGAAATTTTAATTTTGACAATGTCAGCACTAACAATAGAACATGAGGGAAATGAATTATTATGCAAAAAAATGACTTTGGAAGCAAGTTATTGTTAAAATGCAGATTGGTGTGCGTACGTGCATGTGTGTGTGCGCGCGTGTGTGTGTGTGTGTGTGTGTGACTAATTCAATATCACACCATACAACAAAAATCCATCTCATATGAACTGCAGACATGTGTAGAAGAAACGGCTTCACAACTTACACTAAAGAATGATCATGAGCTGTTACACTGGGCTGCCTTTTGTCGATCTGTGTCCTTAAGTTTGAAAAGATGAAACCCAGTGGACTTGCGTTCCCTTGCCATGTGAATATCTAAGTTAAGTCCCCATGGGTTTCATGGCCACAGAGCAGAAATGGCGGCCACACTCAAGGAAGGAAGGACACACAAACAGTGGTGGAGAACCCAATTCTACACCCATAAACGTTCTTTGGTGCACTCGTGCTTCTGGAGGCTGCTGCGCTATTTTGGCTTGAGGAATGCAGAGTAGTACACGATGGCTTAACGAGATCAGCACTTGAAGTCCCCAGCAGAAAGCCCCATTTCAGCACAACCCATGCAGCTGTATACTTACACTATGTGTGCAAGGTCAAGTGGTTTCTCTGGTTGCTCAGGAAAAACAGGATGTGGGGGTTCTCTGGAGGGGACACAGCCCAAAGATTTACTAATTGCATGGCTCAGCTTCTTTGCAGGGGATTTCTGTGTCAAAGGAGAAAATAAGGAAATGAGACCTTTTCAAGTACAAATCAAATTTCACTGCAGTCAGTGTGACTGGGCCTCCCAGAAAAGAGCCAGCCAAGCTCTTGACGTCTCCTGCGGCTTCTTCATTCCTGCGGTTCCTCCCTTCCTATACCATAAAGTCACATTACCAAGTTATGGGGCTAAAGAGACAGGGTAAATGCCTTCTGGTTATCTATATATATTGGGAGTCCCCACCCACTTTTTTGAGGCTTCTGGGTCATTTCTGGCAAGATATTAGGGTAATTCCTACTGGGGGAATTTTTTTGAAGGGTAAAATACAAAAAGGGCTGAGACAATGCTAAGAGCACATGGATTGCACATGTTAGCAAATCAATTGTCTAAATGCTAGAATATTCCAAATAAAAGCAAGGCAGACCGGTTACTCTGGTGCAAGCCTGTAATCCCAGCATTCAGGAGGTGGAGGCAGCAGGATCAAGAGTACAAGGTCGTCTATAGCTACCCAGTTAATCTGAGCCAGCCTGGGCTACATAAGTCTCTGCCTTGAAACAACAACAAAAAAACTGAGGCAGAACATTTGGCATTAAGGGTCTGTCAGGGCCAACAGATTTAAACAAGTATAAGTCTATATACAAGCCGTGAGCACTAGACCTGTGACGATAGATGATAATGTACTACGAGGTACAGAAAAAAAAAGTTGGAATTCTAGTGATTTCTCTGGAAAGCAGAAGAAACATCAATTCCCAAGATTGTTCATTGAAATAGTACATGTGCACAAAGTGAATAAAATTTCATAATTATATTGAACAGAATATTCTATTCTATAGCCCTTGCTTAGTCTGCCTCTCGCTGTTTTTTTAAGCTGGCAAGTAAACCCAGGGTCTCATACTTCTGAGTTATATACACCCACAGCCTCTGAAAATTCCCATAGAGGCTCTTTATATACACTGTATGCTGTCCATCCAATTCCCGTTAAATAACACTGCTGTCTGAGATTTTGGCAGGATATTAATGAGCAATAAGTTTGAATATTTAAGTCTGCTGTCTATACAATTTATTATCAAATGTGACACTTGGAATAGAAAGTATAGCTTGTGTGCAGCTATGTGCCTCATCAATACTGCATCCCCACTTATTATTTATTAAATGGTACCCACGATGGAGCTCAGATTGGCCTTCAACCTGCAATCTTGCTGCCTCAGCCTCAAATGTTGGACTTACAGGCATTCACCACTATTAAACTTTTATATTCTGCTCACTGTATTTTAACACCACATGAACACAAATCCGTTTTCCCTTAAGACCGTCAATATTTGATTATAATAAAGATAATACCAGTATCTTCAGAAACTGTGTTTTGGATATCTTAGCAACCACGGACCCTTCAACCCATTTTATTCTGGGAAAAGTCTACATCTAACCTATTTCCCCTCAAATTACTTAGGGCAAACCACAGTTGGAATTCTGAATTTCCCCCCTCCCTCCCCCTGCTCTCTGCTCCTTTTCCTTTCACTGACAAGTAGCCATGCTGTGCTGCAGGTTCTCCCCTCTAACCCACCCCTGGTCCTAGAGAGCAAGGCCTTCTCCTAGTAGCTCTCACGGGCTAATAATCCATACACAGCAGGAGCTAAAGGAACACCATCATGTTCCACACAGGCACATGCACTCCCAGCCTGCGGCTCTCTCATCTCCTACCTCCAAGGAGCACAGCAGTTGCACATCATGTCCCTTAGGTCTGGAGACCTGGGCACACACCTTTCCCAGGCCTGTCCTCTCCCACCAGTCTTACACATGTCTCCTGCTTGTTTCCCAGGCCTCTGGAGTCTCCTCCGTGAAGAGTTTCTCACCGCCCTACTGGTCAGCGCTGCCTCTCCAGGGCCCCCTGACCTTGTGCATATGCCCACCCGCACACTGACCATGTTAGATCACAGAGTCGAACTCCTTTCCCATCTTCATTAGACTCTTGCTTCTGAAGAGGCCAGCTATGTCTTATTCATCTCTGCGTTTACAGAGCCTATTCTTAGACTAGAACATGTGGCTTGAACACAATTTTCTAGCTTTATTTTCAGCTTTTTATTTTTTGAGAATTACAAGTAGGAGACAACCAATGGAAACAGAAAACAGTAGTTTAATTCACCTTTACAACTAATTTTCATTTCATGATTTGTTGGTATACCAAAGCAGCACCTGGGACATTAATTCATGCAGTCTACATGAGACAGATTTACTTTACCTACATCCTGAACACTAACAGCCATGAAATCAAAGGCTTAATAAACAACATTAAAATAACTACTTGACTATTGAAATAAGGGTCTGCATTAATAATCCTTAATAATCTTAACAGTATTCTGGAGTATTCTTGAAAATACTGCTTTAAGTCAAGATTGAACAAGTAATTGCAATTTCAGGCAGGCCAGACGGATAAAGGCACTGCCACCAAGCCTGATGACCTGTGTGGGATACCCAGGAGCCACACGGGAGAAGGGGAGAACTGATTCCCACAACTATTATTTGACCTTCACATATGTGCTGCAATCTATGCATACCCAATACAATAAATAAATAGATAAAACTAATAAAAAAAAGATAGCATCCTATTTCAAGCCTCCAAAACAGACATTGGGCTAGGGATGTAGTTCAGTCAGCAGAATGCTTCTCTACCATGCATAAAGCCCTGGGTTTGATCCCCAGTACCACATAAACCAGATGTGGTGGTATTCCTGCAATCCCAGCACTCAGAAGGTATGAGCAGGAGGATCAGAAGTCCAAGGTCATCCTTGGTTACATACTAAGTTCAAGAGGGTATAAAATTTATGCTATACTTTTTTTTTTTTTTTTTTGGTTTTTCGAGACAGGGTTTCTCTGTGTAGCTTTGCACCTTTCCTGGAACTCGCTTTGGAGACCAGGCTGGCCTCGAACTCACAGAGATCTGCCTGCCTCTGCCTCCCGAGTGCTGGGATTAAAGGCGTGCGCCACCACCGCCCGGCTTGTGCTATACTTTTAAAAGCCATAAAACTATAAAAGTTATCATGTCCATCTATCCAGTATTCAGCCTGAAAAACAACATGACAGTCACTTTGAAGTTTCTTGCGGGTTCCCCCTTGACCTCCTCCTACCATATCTCCTTTTCTCCTGGTAGGCACTAACTTGGACTTTGTATTAATGATTTCCTTAGCTTTATTATTTTCACAATGGTGGACAATGAGACATTGTGAAGAAATGTTTAAAACCTACAGAGGCTAAATGTAAGTTCAGCAACTTGCTTTCTTTCACTCAAAACTGTTGTAATTTCGAGCCAAACAACTGTCTTCCGTGTCCAGAGGGCCTAGTCTAGTCCCATGGGGGCTCCACAGGTGGTGTGACACCTTGTACAGCCTTGGTGCAGAGGGGAGGGCCTTGGACCTGCCTAGGCTCAGTGAGGGGCGCTCTGCTGACTCCCCATGGGAGACATCGATTTGGGGGATGTGGGGAGGCGGGGTGGCTTAGGAAAGAGAGCTGGGGGTAGAAGGAAGGAGGAGGGGGGAATCTGTGGATAGTGTGGAGTGAGTAGAAAATTTCTTAATAAAGAAAAATAAAATAAAAAAAGAAAAAACTGTTATAATTTATATATGTGGGTGTATAGATAATTATAATTTACACATTTTTTTTCATTGCCTGATGGTACTTTCATGCTTAGTTTCCTATAATTTAGATGGGTCACTCCACTGCCGATGAACAATGAATAATGGTTTGTTTCCATATGGTCCTATTATTCACAATGTTGCTACTAGGTTTTCTATGTCATGATGCTTGATGGCCACATGTGAGAATTTCTTAAGTTTGGGACTATTGGTTGTTGCTAGAGTTTTCCTGCCTGGCCCACAATCAGGACAAATCTCTCTCACCCGCCAGTCCCAAGCCGCTCAAACCCGATCAAGTAAACACAGAGACTTATATTGGTTACAAACTGTATGGTTGTGGCAGGCTTCTTGCTAACTGTTCTTACAGCTTAAATTAATCCATTTCTATTAATCTATACCTTGCCACGTGGCTTGTGGCTTACCGGTACTTTACATCTTCCTTGTCCTGATGGCGGCTGGCAGTGTCTCCTTCACCAGCTTCCTGTTCTCTCCATTTTCCTCTCTGTTAGTCCCGCCTATACTTCCTGCCTGGCCACTGCCAATCAGTGATTTATTCATTGACCAATCAGCAACACATTTGACATACAGACCATCCCACAGCAATTGGTTGCATGGCTGTGTACATTCCACTTTTGGCAACCACTGCCAACTCATTTGCTCTACGAAGCAGTCACACTAATTTCCCATCAGCTGTGTGGGAGAGCTCCTGAAACTCCACTCTCTCTCCAACCCTCCTCACTGCCAGATACTTCAACGTTTGCTAGGCCTGTGGGTAGTAAATGGTACTGTGATTTCAATTTGCAATCTCCTCGGAAGCAAAAAGATTGGGTATCTTTTCCTGTATTTGTAGGCTGTTCATGCTTCTCTAAAATAACTGCTCCTACTGTTTCAAAGATTGATAAAGAGTCAGTTTAGGAGGCTAGTAGGGGTTATCCTTCTCGTACTGTTTTTTTTTTTTAATCTTTTTTGAGACAGGATTGCATGTAGCTCAGGCTCTTCTCAACCCACTATGTGGCAGACGATGGCTTTGAACATGTGATCCTACTGCCACCACAACTCTAGATGCCATCAGGCCTGGCCCTCTTACCGGTTTGCAACAATTCTTTATGTTTTTGTATTTTAAACCTAAGAGAGCTATAGTGTATAATTTCTCCTTTAGTTCCTCACTGTATTATATTTTTGATGAACAGAGACCTTGAAATATTAGCCATCCCAATTTTGTAACTTTCTTCTTATTTTGTGCCTTTTCTATGTTAAAACATTTCCCTTAGATCATAAAGGAACCCCTCCACACACACACACACACACACACACAGTTTTCTGAAGCTCTGTCATTTAGGGCTGCAGAGACGGCTCAGCAGGTGCCGTGCAGGTGGG